AAGATTGCATTAATAAGCACTGTAGACCCTAATATGGGTAAGTCATCAGCAGCAAAAAAGACCAAAAGCAAAAGAGACTTAAGGTGGGGTCGATGACGATGCCTTCTCAGCAGTTCGGTCCAAACCAGCTCGGAGGTTCAGGCGCTAAAGGACCGTAGGCAAGGCCGGCTCCCACCAAGGGTGCTCGCCAGAATTTCCCTCCCAGCCGATGGAGTTAGGGAGAATCGCCCACACCTCGTCGTAATTAAAGCCGCCAGTATAGACACCGGCATCAGCCTTAGCCTGGTCCTCTACATGCCAAGCTCTAAGTACTGATGGGCTGTCGGTGCCAACGAACATGTACTCCTTTGAGTTCTTGAAGTGATCAATAAGTAACCGCTGTTACTGCTCCATGAAAGCCCACCCTCGATCATAGGTCCGAAAAGATGTAAGCCCTTCCTCGCGAGCCGCGGCTTCACGATCAGCTAGAGAGGAGGGAAGCTTGGCCAGTATTTTGTAGTTTTTAGCCGAGTACGGAATAAATCACGACCTTGGCTCGTGTCTATCGAGGAAAGTTGTTCATATACGGATTCAAGCAGCGATTAACTCACACAAAGGGGAAAATAAAGATCTTAAACACTCTATTCGCAATTTGGGGTTTGAACTAAGATAAATGACGCAACTTTGAACTAAAAAGAAAGCCAGATTCAAACTTTAACACAAACAAGTCCTCAAATTGCAATAAAAAGGAAAATAGAGAGAAAGAGAACAATGTGCCATAAGACCATTGAAATATATTGTTATGGAATATTTCGTTGGAATATCATATCTATTGTTTTTGGTGGAATATCACATTTTTGTTTTTTTTGATAGTGCTTATCATTCAAATGAATGCAATGTTTATAGTTGCTGCCTACGAAGTGGAAGGGTAAACTAATCACCAATCGCCCAATTAGTTGTAAAGCGTCATGATTGATATGTAAACTAAATGATTATCGTTTTGAAACTACAGCCACTATAAATTAATTTACCTAACGCAATCCACCATCTTGACCATTCAAAAGTTAAAACGGTCAGCCCAAATTTTTCCCACACGGACACACGGAGGAAAGAATAGTACTCTCCGTCCATAAGTTAAAAATAAGGGATATTTTCATCTATCTTATAAGATTTAAATTTATTTGCGATTTTGCTGCTATTATAAATTTAATTGCATATGTACCTAAAACTATTGAATTAATTGGAGATTTACTTGATTTCAGTTACCATAAAAAACGTTGACTAATAAGAGAGAGAAATGAAAATAAATAACTTACTCATTTAATTCCTTAATTCGCGCAACTGAAATTTCTTAATTCACGCAGTTGTCAGGTGGTATATATTACGTTAATGTTAGTATATATTGAGTATATGTTGCAATTAGTTATGCTAGATATAAATTGATTTTATACCTAAAAATTATGTCTCAAGATAAATATTTTTATCATATACCGAAAATATACTGAATATAAACTATACATATGCAAAAAAAATAAAAAAAAATCAATTTATGCTTTGTCAAAATCGTTTTCTAACACATGACATAACAAAAAAATCTTCTAATATATTGAACATATACTGCCGTGAACATATATTGTACATATACCGTAGATATAGTGTACATATACTACAATCCAAAGTCTGCGAATTTCAACGTAATCTACAGAGTCCAATATCTCTAAAAGATCGAAATAAAATTCAATTTTTCTGCATCAATGGCTCGCCCAGGATTTTGCTGGTGACGGGCTCGGCCCTAAATCCTTGCAAAAACGCCGTCGGAGACCATTACCTTCTGAAATTTCTCAAGAACAAGATCGATTACCGCAAGATCCACGAGATCAAACTCGTGTACAAAGAAAATCCCATGGATGAAAAATAAAATGAAAATGACGACAAAATCGAAACAAATCACAGATCTCGTCTTCAAGGACACGTAGAAATACGCGGTAAATCCCTTAAAGTTCATTTTGAGCGGACATATTTGTATAGAAGCACAAAATTTTATAGTATTTTTTGAAAATTTAAAAATTTTAAAAAATTTCAAATCTAAAAAAATTTCAAAATGTCACTCGAAATATCAAATCGAATACACCCACTATATAACAAAATGGACATTTTATAGCATAGCTAGATATGTATTTTTTTTTAAGAAAAAAAAGGACATTTCACAGTCTAAATGTGTAATTTTCTTAAATAAATATGATGGATTTGACTCGCTAACAGCAAACAAGAATTTGTGAACAGCACTGGTACCTTAAGTATATAAATTATTACATAATGCAAATATATAAATTATTAGACAATGTAAATCATTGTGATTTATATTGTATGTCCCTTTAACACCAAACACATCGGAGTAATTTATTTCAAGAAGGCAGGCGACATATTGAAATTAATGCATGCATTGAGTTCATTCAAAAAAAAAATTTATGTGATACCTATCAAATAGACTTAGTTTGAAAAAATATATTATCTAATTTAAGTACAATTGGACCGAGTTCTGCTTATTTGTCAATAAAAAAAAGAGACTCGGTCTCTTTAAGTCTATTTTAGATTCAAGTAAATACTAAGTCTTTTTGTATTGAAGTAAATTTTATTAATTTTATATACTTTTATTTATGTCACTCCACATAAGTAAAACTAGACCCATATTACATATGCTTATCAACTTGTAAATCTATTTTAGGGCCTAGGCACGTTGATCATTCATTTTTTAAAAGAAAATATACGTAACAACCGTAAAACCTAGACATGTGACAAAATGATATAATATAGATTGATAATTCATCTTAAGAAGAAAACAAATGTATGATAAATACACCACTAATCCAAAACGTACAAAAAATAAAAAAGCGATATAATTATTGGTATAAAATTATATGGTGAGACAAGACAACACATGATTATGTGGATCGATTGATTATACATTTTGAAGACAAAGTACATACCTGATTTCTGAAATGTCATATACTTTTTTGATTTAAAGTAAAATACTTAAATATATATAAAAATATGTTATAATTGGTATCTAATTGTTAGACATTCTTGGTAAAATATAAAAAATAAAAAACAAGCTGATGGAATGAAGGGGAAAAATCAATGTGCTCTAGTTGTCAACTAGTGGTGCTTCTTTGCTTTCCCACAATTTTCCAGAGTTTATAAATATATAATTACTTTATTAATTCCTTGAAGAAAAGAACGTCTTATCAATCCATCATATCCATCATATATAATAATAACATAACTCAAAAGAAAAGGGGAAAAAAAATCTATGAGATTAAGCAGTGTGCTGATAATTCCGGCTAATCGCCACCTTCTTCTTTCTCCTAAAATCATCCACAGAATCGCCCATTTCAATTGTTTTCACCACCTTCCCTTTCCTTTTTCGTTTTTATTTGGCAATTTTCATCTAGTGATTATATGCACTTGATATTTTAATTTTTATTTTAATTATTTTGTTTCTACAAGGTACTCAACTCCCACACCTCCAAACTGAACAAGAAATCGAAAAACTACAATTTTTTCAATTTCTGAAGAGAAGAACTCAATAGATCTATTTTTTGTTTTCATTTTTTTATTGAGCAGTTGAAGTAGAAATAGGGTTTTTGTTTTCTTGCAAACGAGGGTTAATTTTGGTAATTAGTGTAAACAAGCATGGAGGATTACAATCTGCAGCTTGGGGAACACGCAAATTCGAGAGGTAGCAGCAGCAGCAGCGTGAATTTCTTATACGGGCCGGGCGGGCCGATCCTTGGGCCCGGATCTTCTGCGGGAGCCTTTCATCTCCACCAAACATCAGACTGTTACGATAATCATCATCATCATCAGGGCCCGATCGTGAAAACTGAAGGCGGAAGCAACTCGAAGTTCAATTATCATCATAATCATAATCATAATCATAATCAGCATAATCATAATCATGGTCCGGCTGTAATAAGAGGGCATTTTGAGGGTCAACTGAGAGTGGACGAAATTGATGCAATTAAGGCCAAAATTATTGCGCATCCTCACTACTCCAATCTTTTGGAAGCCTACATGGACTGTCAAAAGGTCTGTTTTATTTATTAATTACCTTCCTTTTTTATTTTATTTTTTTCTTAAAGATAAATCCCGAGAGCATAATTATGTGCTTAAATTATTCTCGGCC